TATGTTATTCACCTTCAAATTCGGATTGCAGGAATGGGGTTCTGAGGAAAAGGGGATGTAATTGTCTGAAACAGTATAATTGACTTTTAGAGAATCTCATTAAAGTATATACCCATATGAATTCTTGTTAAAAACATCAACAACAAAACAATTATGATTAAGTTAAGCAGAAAAATAGTTTACTGGAAGAAAATTAGGTAGTTCACAGAATTGTTGGAAATGCTGGAGAATGGACTTTGGAAAACAGACAGAAGCCAAGGGAAACTAAATGACCAAAATCATAGCCAAGTTCTGACCTCAAGAAGAACTGGAAGTTTGTGTATATGTCTGCTGGTAGTGGTGCCTCTGAAAATTGGATTCCAAACACTCCAGATTCAAAGTCTGATGGGAATGTCCAGTTGACAAAGATTATTCTTGTGCCAGCACTGAGGCTGTCAGGCATCAAAGATAGCAAGTATGGCTGACCTTTTCAGCCTCCACAGTAGAAGATAGGACCATTTCTCTCATCAGATCCACCAAACACGTGAAATGGATTTGATGACTGAACCCCAAATATAGGAATATCAGAGATCTACTGTAGTCCCGTCTCTTTCCAACATCTACCTATACCACTTCTACCATATTTACACATTTACATTATACTGACATAATACTATTATCCCTCATCCACTTTCAAGTCCACAATCTCCATGTGGTGGACTTGAAATCCACTTGAATTCCAATTAGAGGAATCCTCCTCTAATTGTGTAATGATCTTGTCTCAATAGTATGTAACCCATAGACAATACTGCCACCTAACCACAACCACCCCTATATATAATAATAGTATAAGATATGAAAGAAAAGGAAAATTATTAAATATATAAGCATATGTATGTACCAATGAGGAAGAAAATATAACTAGAGCAGGGCTTTGCCAACTTCCTTGCTGAGAATTACCTGAATTGCTTGTTAAAAATACAAATTCCGGAGCCCTATTACAGATGAACTGAAGCAATAACCAGGAGAGGGTATGGGGAGCAGCATGCTTTGTCCCAAAGGCCTCTGATTTAAATTTTTTTTAAAATTATGCTAAATATAGTCCTCCATTCTGCCACTGGCCATGAGGCCATGACTTCTCACCACTGCCACTTACTCCGTTTCCCTTGTGTTCAACTAGTAACTTGGTGGATGAAATTTTTTTATCTAGTGCTTGATCCAAGAATTTGAGGCTTGAGTGGTCTTGCCTATATATGGTTGCAGATGTTTGCTTAATTTTTATAATTCAGCATGGGATTGTGAGGAGGTATTCCAGGAGATAAGATTTCCCAAGCTCCAATCAGATTCCTCTCCCTACTCCCTTTTCTTCCGTGGTCATTAGGGCCAATCACCCCAACTAGTGCCATAACTATTTTTTCTAACTCCTTACGTAGAGGAATGAACTAAAATGACCAGGTTACAATCCCAAACTCTAATGCAAAGAAAACATTGTATCCCCCTTATACCCTACTCTGGCTACAAAAAGTTGGTGCACCAGTAGAATCTGGAATCATGGAGATGGATGGCAAGAGCGGTGAAGGGTCTAAGATTTTATCCTACTTGTAGGCTTGCTTGCTACAGTTAAATGGATGCTGACAGGAGACTCCCGGGTATAAAAGACATGATTATGGAAAAATAACCAGAGCATCAGCATATTTGCACTTGTTCCTGGAGCCCCAATTCCCACAGTGATTGCCAGATGACACCTGTACACACAATGGGTTGCATCACGGGAGAAAAGTCCAGGGCCAGGGACCACGCATTTTTTGAGCAAGCAGCAAACAAGCCAGTCTCTTTTCCTCAAGGGAAATAGTTAAATGGTAGTAATGCTGTATTTAAATGCCTATATGACTAACTACAGAAATTGCTCAGTTTCAGGAGATGGATAAGCCTTGAGCAATAATATACAGGAATACAGGACCCTTGGCAGATTGTCTCTCCCCACAAGAAAGCAAAATATATGGATAGTGCATCAGATGTTACAAGATACTAGTCCTTCTAGTACTCTTTGGATCCTGTTATTCTGTCTGTAGTAGAGCTAATCACCAAAAATACCGTTAAGTCACTGGGAGCATATGTCAAATCCTTCAGGACAGCATCCCAAAGTGTATTTTCTCACCTTGTCCCAAAAGTAAAGGTTCGGTAGGGTTAACCAGTTGCTTCTGGACACATGGGATATATGATAAGGCTTGTTAATTCCACAGGCATCAATACTCTACATTTTTCACAGGCAAGTGAGTTCTTTGGTGAGAAGCAATGTTGTGTGGGATGCTATATAAGGTGTATGTAGTATAAGGTATTCAGTAAGTCCACAGAAAAAATGTATAAAAGAAGCATAAGTCAAGGAAACCAATCCAAACACAGTATAATTGTCCCTATACAACAAGTTGCTACTTCCTTCATTATAGTAGGATTCCGTTGTAATCAAACCTGCCACCCAGGCTGTGTAGTCCTCCTATATCAGGGGGACAGGTTGTTCACTGCAAGTAGCGGTGCTAGCCAATTAGTCTTGGCAGGGAAAAAGACTATGTTAAAAATTTATGCATCACTATGCCACCGTGGCTACCTGATAGTGGGTCCCAGCTGTGGTAGGAGAATGAGGCTGACTGATGTCTACAGAGTGGGTCACTGTGGTAGGCAGCCTCTAAAATGATCTTCAGTGATCTGCATCTGCTGGTATTCACCCTTTGTATAATCCCCTCCCTTTTGAGAGTGTGTTGGATATACTGACTCACTTTTAATAGAATACATCAAAAGAGAAAATACATTTCTAATGATAGAATACATCAAAACTTGAAATGAGATTACAAAAACACTATGGCTTCCACTTTAGCAGTCTTGTTCTCTCATTCATTCTGTGGAAAACCAGCTGCCATATTGTGAGATGACATTTGAAGAAGCCCACATAGCAAGAACTGAAAGAGGCCTCCAGCCCAAAAACCCACAAAGAATTAAAACCTGCCAATAATCGTCCTAGTAAGCTTGGAAGCAGATTCCCCTCACCCCTAGTTGTGCCTCTATATGAGACTGGAACCCCAGCTAAGAGCTTGACTGCAACCTCCCTCAAGATCTAAAGCCAGAGGCACACTGGCTTCCCCATTTCTGACCCACAAAAACAGAAAGTGTTTACTGTTTTAAGACAAAATTTTGGTTTAATATGTTATGGAACAAAATAGATAAGTAATATCAAAATCTTATTCTGATTAAAAGCCCTTCTGAAAAAAATGAAACAAGATGAAATCAGTAGGGAGACAAACCATAAGAGACTCTTAATCTCACAAAACAAACTGAGGTTTGCCGGGGGGAGAGGGGGTATGGAGAGGGTGGTTGAATTATGGACATTGGGAAGGGTATGTGATATGATGAGTGCTGTGAAGTGTGTGAGTCTGAGGATTCACAGACCTGTACACTTGGGGCAAATAATACAATATATGTTAATAAAAAAGATTATTTAAAAAAATACCAAAAAAAAGAGCCCTTCTGAAATGGGAGCCTTTCGTTTTTTTTTTTGTTTTTTTTTCTTGAGTAATGAGATCCAAATATTATGTTTTGGGGTGATTTTGAGAGGTCCTATTCCAAAGAACTATTTAAAAACCTTTACAGTCCCAGTCCTTGATCAAAACTTCACTAAACCAGTGCCTATGAATCATGTAGATCTTTATCTCAAGCCACATCCCTTTCCAGACAAAGTATAAAGGATAAAGTTTTAGCCTCTGAGAAGATCTCTCTCTCTCTCTCTCTCTCTCTCTCTCTGCTGTTCCTTGAGGGCCTCTGTTAAATGGGATTCTAAATGCCAAGGCAGTCCCTTGATAGCTGAGTTAGTATATTTAGCAGAGCCATTCATAATCTGGCTTTGAATGTTTTACCTCAGTCAACTGGTCACAAGGAACTCATCAAATTGTAGATATGAAGTAAGGGTCAAAAATGTTTGTGGGAGCTAACTGCTAATGAAAATTGCTTGGGTTTTGGTTCTGGCCCTCTCTTGTATATAATACTTTTTTTTTTTTTTTTTTTTTAGAGATTTTATTTATTTGACAGAGACACAGCAATAGAGGGAACACAAGCAGGGGGAGTGGGAGAGGGAGAAGCAGGCTTCCCGTGGAGCAGGAAATGGGGCTCTATCCCAGGACCCTGGGATCATGACCTGACCTGAGGGCAGACAATTAACGACTAAGCCCACCCCCCGGGTGCCCCAGTATATAATACTTTTAGTAAAGGGGACTCCTTCTCTAGGAGGATCAGGTAACTCCCAGTTTATGATGAGAAACTCAGATTGCACAGCTACCTGATGTCACCTTCTCAGACATTACCAGGCCCAACAGCTAGCCAAGAACTTTTCTGAAAAATTAAAAAAAAAAAAAAAAGTAAAAATAAAAATCTAGGGCCCTGCACTGTGATTCTGTGAGGATTTCCACAAGTTACATAAAGCACCTTGATCTGCCACATATGCTCCAAACGTCATTGGAACTTTATGGGCCAACTGGCAGAGCTCCTTCCACTGCAGCCTGGACCAGATGGCAAGCCTTTTCTTGCTCTGCTCTTCACTCATAACTGTCATCTTTCAGGTCATCTGGTCAATCAGTCAAAACAGACGAATTAGAGGAGTTTACTGAACGACTAGATATTTAAGAAATAAAAGAACAGTAAAAGGAGCAAAAGAGTAAAAGGTGCTTCGCCTTTGTGTACTATAAAAGAGATCTTTCAAGAGACCTCTGCCTCAGATTAAGAGGAATATACCGAATTATATTCCCTCATCCAACCTCAGCCATGATTTGGGGTTTTAATCAACACAGAGGTCAGGGTGGTTTGAGTCGCCTTCGCGAGAAAGCTGATGCTCTCCAGGAGCCTTTCATACAGACAGCGCCTGACGGGAGCGTGGATTCCGAGGGTGAGCTCCGGAAGCCCCGCCCCGGCCCGGCCTCACGCAGGGCCCACCCCTCCAGACGCAGGCCCCGCCCAATCACAAGCAGGCCCCACCTCCCGAGAGCTCCGCCCCTCCTGCGGGGTGGACCTCGGTCGGCTCCGCTGGCTCCCCGCCTCCTTGCTAGACCCACGGGGACGCTGCGGGATTTGGCACCATGTCTGTATCGAGGCTGGCTCGGTTGCTCGGCTGCGTTCCGGCCACCGCGTGGAGAGCGGCAAGTAAGACGCCCGGCCCCGGGGGCCGAAGTCGCGGACGGGGTCGCGAGGCCCCGGTGCCGCGAGAAAGTCCTCCCTCAGGGAAGTCGCGTGTGTCCCGGGCTTCTGAAGGCGCTGGGTGCTACAGAGCTGCTCTTTTTCGGCTCGGCCACCCACGTCTTGGTCCTGGTTAGGTCCCTTCTCCATCCCGGATCTTAGGGGTGGGACTAGGGCTAGATCACCGCACCCAAGCCCTTCCAGCCTGGGCACCCGCTTCCTTCCGGTCACTGGTCAGGAAGGGCAGCAAAACATTCGGGGTTGTTTACTTGGGAGCCCTCAGCGCGCACTACTCTTCGGTGCTCGTGAAATAAAATGGAAAAGAGGGCCCTTGGGGAACGAGACCCATCATTTACTTATTTAATTTACATCAAAAAGGATTTGTGGCAGTTTGCAGTATTAAAAAATTGGAAAAGTGCAGAGGTGGGCCAAAGTAGCAGATTAGTATAATAAAAATTAGATAAAGTCAAGAATTGTTAATACAAAGAAGGTATGCATGTTTTCAGTAAAAACGAACCATTTTAAACCCATTTTTGTTGGAAAGCTTTCTCAGTATTTTAAACGTAACCCACAGAGTATGCTAAACTTAGTTCTAATTGAGGACATCCTGGAGAAATTGTGTAAGTTGGAAACAAAATTACTGCCTCTCTCAGTAATGGGCCCCAGATTTCTATGCAGTTTGTTTTTTTGTAATCATTTCTCCCCAAACGTATTACTTGTTAATTGTAAACATTATAAATGGTCCAGGAGTGAATAATAAAGTGAAAGTCCCACTTTATCCAAACTCCAAAGTAGTGACTGTACATTTTGTTGTGTGTTCATTCACCGTCCCTTTCTCACTTGTTAGCAAGAATGAAGGGTGTGATACCAAAAATGTATATTACACGTGTAAGTTATAAAGCAGAACTTACATTTATGAACTCATTTTCCAATTTAAGAAATAGAATATTTCTCTTACCAAGCAGCTCCTGTGTGCTTCTTCCCATTGGAGTTGTTACTTTATATGGTTTTGGTCTTTATAGAAATGACTTCTTACCATTTGTATTTATTTTGCTTGCGTTTTTCAACTGACACTATATTTTGAGATGCATCTATATTGATGTGTGAGGTTGTAGTTAATCATGCAGTTGCGAGAATGTATCATACAGTTTTTCCAGTCTTCTTCCCAGTGGACATTTGGGTAATTCTGGAAACACCAGGATTGGCTGCTACACATTCTTGTTATGGGTGCTCTAATGCAAGGAGTGGAATTCCTGAAACATATGGTATAGGCCTTTTCCATTTTATAATACGATGCCAAGTAGTAAAGGTATTTCCATTCCGACTGGCAGTTACGTACCTACCAGCAGAAACATCAGTTCTTGTTGTTCCACATACTTGTCAACATTTGCTAATTACCAGAAAATTTCATTTTTGTCTGAATAGGGTGTTGAAATGGTATTTTTGCTTCGGGATTTTATATCCACTATCCTAGCTAAATTCCTTTCCTCTTTTAACTTCTCTAATTAAAGAAGTCGAACATCTTTTAAAATATTTATTAGCTTTTTTTTTTGGTGAAATCTCCTCATTTTCTTAATGGATTGTTTGTCTTTCTTATTTATATTCTTTACTAATATTCTTTACTAATGTTCTTTACTAATACTCTATACTTTACTAATATTCAATACTAAACCTTTTTGAGTTGTGTAAGTGGCAAATAGCCCAGTTTGGGGCTGTTTTTGTCATGCCATCATGGGTTTGGAGTTTTGTTTTTTTTTTAATCATATATAATAGCAGCAGAATAAAATAACAGATCTGCACGTATAATCACACAGCTTCAGAAGAAAGGTGTCTTTTTTTTTAAAGAAAGGTGTCTTTTGAGGAACACATAATCATAATTGTAATCATGTCTTGATCCTTTTGTTTATTGTCAGTGCTTTGTGATCTTGTCTAAAAAAGCCTTTCCTACCCTAAAGTCAGTTAGTCTGTATTTTCTTTGCAAAGGTCTGTAGTTTTGCTTTTTATATATAAGCCTTTATTCTGTCAGGACTGATTTTTGTGTATGATGTGAGGCAGGAAATCAATTTCACTTATTTTCCATGTCAGTAATCTGTTGTCCCAGGTCCATATATTGGGCCTTTCCTTCCCTGATACAATGCCAACTCTCTTCAATCAAGTTCTCATAAACATATAGGCATGGGTTTATTTCTTGGCTCCATTTTCAATTCCATAGATCTATTTGTCTATTCTTATGCTGATATCACCTATCTTAATAACCATACCTTTGAAATAAATCTTTTTTTTTAAGATTTTATTTGTCAGAGAGAGAGCAAGCACAAGCAGGGAGAGCTGCACGAGGAGGGAGAAGCAGGCTCTCCTCCGAGCAAAGACCCCAATGCTGGACTTGATCCCAGCCAGGGTCCTGGGATCCTGACCTGAGCTGAAGGCAGACACTTAACTGACTGAGCCACCCAGGCGTCCCACCTTTGTAATAAATCTTGATTATGTAATAGGGAATATCCTCCCATTTTGCTTTTCAGAAGTGCTTTGGCAATTCTTAGGTATCTGCTTTCCATATCAAATTCTTAAAAAAAAAAAAAAGTCCCTGTTGGGATTTGACTAACACTGCTCAATATTTTTTTGAATTGTCATTTTGTGATTGCTACTTATGTATAGAAACATAATTTACTTATTTATTGCTTTTGTATTGTGTAACCCAGCTAAATTAGGTTATTAATTTAAATAATTTATCGTAGCTAGGTGGGGAGGGTATTTGCTATGTAGGCAGTCATATTAAGGGCAAGTATTAAAAATCTAGTTTCTCACTTTCTAACATTTTTCTAACATTTATTTTTCTTTTCTTTTGTTTTCTTTTTCTTTTCTCTTGTTTTTCTGTCTTGCTCAGATTTCCAATAACATGTTATCTAGAAGTGATGATATCTTGTTTGTAATTGTAAAGGGAATGCATTCATATTTCAAATGTCATACTAGCTATGGATGTGCCTTTATCAAGTTAACGAAGTCCTATGCTGTGTCCAAAGGGTTTTTATTGTTGTTTATGTATTTGTCTGGTTTTTAAGACTGAATAAATCTTGAAATTTAATGAATTCATTTTTCTTCCTCTTCTTGGGGTGATTATATCATTTTTCTCCTTTAAATCTGGTGAGTTGGTGAACTGTAGCATTTTTCTAATGCTAAATACTCTAGCATTCCTAGAAGGTACTGAAATTGATCATGATGATTATATTTTTAATATGATGTTGGATTTGGTATGCTAATATTTTGCTTAGAAATTGGCCTGTTGGGGCACCTGGGTGGTTCAGTCAGTTAAGCATCTGCCTCTGGCTCAGACCCTGGGATCACCAGGGTCCTGGGACCGAACCTCGCATCAGGCTCCCTGATCAGCAGGGAGCCTGCTTTTCCCTGTGCCTGCTGCACCCCTCTGTCTCTCTGTGCTCTCTCTCTGTCAAATAAATAAATAAAATCTTTAAAAAAAAAAGAAGAAGAAGAAGAAGAAGAAGAAATTGGCCTGTAAGTTTCCTCTTCTGTAGTTTCGTTTTCTGGTTTTGAAGCTTAAGTTATTTTAGCCTCATACATTGAATTCAAGAGTCTTACCACCCTTTTCTCTTCCTTGTTATGTTTTGTTTAAAAAAATTACTCATTCTTAGAGGGTTTGGTATAACTCAAGTATAAAACTATCTGCGCTCTGATGGAATATTTTAAATTACTGGTTTAATTTCTTTAATGGTTATTGCATTCAGTCAGCTTTGATGAGTTAAGGTTTTCTAGAAAATTGTTCATTTTTTATGCTTTCGTTATATAGGCATAAGCATAAAGTTCCCTTTTTTGAAAAATGTCTGCTCTCATATATAATTATGTAGTCTCTTCATATTATTTATTTTGCCTTCTTTTGTTTTTTTCTTATTAGCCTAATCAAAGGCTTCACAGCAGTTTTAAGGGAACCAACTCTTGCTTTTGTTGATTATCTCACTTATATGTCTTTTACTTATGTTATCATTTTCTTTTCTGTGGTTATTTTCTTTCCATTTTCTGTGTGTCTCTCTTTAAAACAAAACTAAAAATATGGAAACGGCGCATCTCATGGCTTAGTTTGGGCTATAATAGCAAATTACCATTGACTGGGTGCTTAAACACCAAACAGTTATTTCTCACAGTTCTGGAGGCTGGGAAGCCTGAGGTCAAGGTGCCACACATCTGGTCTCTGGTGAGAGCCTGCTTCCTGGTTTGCAGATAGCTGTCCTTTCATTGTCTCCTCATGTGCCAGAGAGCAGAAAGCCACAGCAGGCTCTCATATTTCTTCTTAAAAGGGCACTAATCTTGTTCATGAGGGCTTCACCCTCATTACCTAATTACCTCAAAGAAGCCCCACCTTCTAATGTCACCACATTAGGGGTTAGAATTTCAGTATATAAATGAGGGTGGTGAAGGGGACTCAAATCTTCAGTTCCTAACATTGATCTTTTGCTTTTGTGTGTGTTTGTTGGTTTTTTTTTTTTTTAAGAAACATGGTAATTAATGGAGCTTCTGACATGAACAACATGTGGCCGGATTTTGTTTTATTTTGTTTTTTGGAATCTGACAGTCTATACCTATTTAACTGGAGAGTTCAGATCATTTAGAAATCATAATTATTGATATAATTGGCTTTATTTCTACCATATTTTTACACCTTCTATTTGTCACACTTGGTTTAAATTAAATATTTTCTTCCATTTTTTTTTCCTCTGCTGGTTTGGAAGATATACATTACCTTTTATTGGTTACCCATGAAATCTAAATGCATACTTAAGGAAATCTGAAGTGAATACCTTCTCCTAAACAGTGCAAAGTATAAAAATGCTTTGAATTCACTCACCCTCTATCTTTGTTGTTCAGCCTTTTAGGTGTGTATATGTGTGTGTGTTCTAGTGTATATGTTGGGATGGGATTGTGGTATTGATAATATGACATCACAGTTATTATGGTTT